GTTCAGCTGATATGGAAGCGTTTCGGCAGAGCGGAGGTTGGCCTCTTCGCAACGAGCGAGAACACGCATTGTCAGACGTTCTTCTCGCTGTCTCGTTCCTCCCGGGAGGAGGACGCGCTGACTGCGCGATGGCCGAAAGTTGTACGTGCTGCACTCGCGAGCCTTGAGCACCATCGCGGAGGCGCGAACCCCGTCCACAAGCCGTCTGTATGCCCTGAAGTGGAGAGTTTTTTCAAAATGGTGTCAGGATGTCGGCATCAACCCAGGGAGTTGTTCTGTGTCGGATATTCTGCGCTTCCTTCAGTACAGGATGGACGAGGGGAGCCTTCCATCCACTCTAAAGGTGTGTGTGGCTGCTATCGCCGCATTTCATCCCCCTGTTGACGGGCAGTCTATCCCCTGTTGACGGGCAGTCTATCGGCAGACATACGTCGGTGATCGGGTTCCTCAAGGGAGCCAGGAGGTTATGTTCCCGCACGGCCGCCTTCGGTGCCGCTGTGGGATTTGGCTTTGGAGGCTTTGTCACGACAGCCTTTCGAGCCCCTGGCTTCGATCGCCATTAAGGAGCTTTTTGTAAAAACGGCTCCGCTTGCATCGGCGAAGCGAGTTGGGGATTTACAGGCTTTCTCTGTAAGTGAAGATTGTTGTGGCGAGCAGGACGAGGCCGAGTGACGTGAGAGCGGCGCGAGGCCGGTGGCGTGAGTGGTAATGAGCGACACCTGTGAGACGCACCGGTCTCGCATCTCTCACGGAGGAGCGGAAGCATAAAGGAGGAGCGACGACGGTGAATATGGAGAGAGGAACAGGCCTTATTTTATGTTGTGTTTTGTTTCTGTGGCCAGCAGTCGTCCGTGAGGGGCTGCTGGCTTTACTTTCATTTTTTATTTGTTTATTTTATTATTAAAGTGTTGAATGTTCACCGGTTCCCGCCTCCTTCTTCCCATAACATCTGAACCCCGTTACAATTGTATTCGCTTTGGACCGGGAAACTGTAATGTGACTCTCAGGCCAAGGCCGGATTATATTCCTAAATCGCTCAATACCCCGTTTAAAGCCCAGATTGTTTCTCTGCCTGCCCTGTCCGCCAAGCCATCAACCTCTCAGGTTTCGGATGCTCAGAGTGCCGTTTGCCCGGTCAGAGCGCTCCGGGAATATATTTTTCGCTCGGCCGCTTTTCGACAATCGGACCAGCTGTTTGTGTGCTTTGGTGGATGCAACAGGGGACGGGGGGTCTCTAAGCAGAGGCTTGCCTTAACATCAAGGCCCATTCGACGAGGGCGATCGCCTCTTCGTGGGCCTGGACTAAGGGTATGTCTATTCAGGATTTATGTCTTGCGGCTGGCTGGTCTTTTTAGAACACGTTTGCCAGATTTTACAAGTTGGATATACCCTCGGTGGGGTCTCGGGTGCTTTCGGTGAGCTGATTTGTGTCATTGCATGGCATTTAGTGAGCTACTCTGTGCTTGGCTCATGAGTTCTTCTATATGCTGATTGTGTATGTTTTAACTGTTGTCACCGCTATGCGTTGGCCTTCTCTTACTATTGTTGCACTGTATGCTCGACAGTGTAAACTTCTCCCGGTTATACTGCTCGGGATATGCAAATTTGGGCAATGTTTTGTGAGCATGCGATTGGTCTCTTTTGACCTATCAGAGCTTAGTGGTTCGCTATTGGCCAACCTCAGCCTATCAGATGCTTGCTCGCTGGAGGGACGGTCTTGGTATTGGGTTCTGTCGTCAGTGGTGTGTTATGCTGCCACAGCGGGATTTTATACAGTTCCCATATACAACATCCGTAATGTCGAACTTCCGTAGCCTTGATAGGGAACGTCTCCTGTTACTTCCGTAACCTCGGTTCCCTGAAAGGCAAGGAATGAGACATTACGCTTGCCGCCGTGTTCGCTATTGATTTTAGCATTTGTTCGATTCTGAGGAAATTAACGCTGCATCTGCATTATTACTGCAACGGTGTTTCAGTATTTGCATATTTTACGTCAATTGGCCAGCACGGCTGGCGTTAGCCTATAAGATTTCAGCAGAAGTGAAGAAGGGGAGGAGTTCCCATATTCGACATCCGCAATGTCTCGTTCCTTGCCTTTCAGGGAACCGAGGTTACGAAAGTAACCAGAGACGTTTTCCTCCGGCCTGAAAACAGCCGGCCAATCAGCGAACAGAGGGCGGGCTAAGAGCCCGTGATGTAGACGCTAAGCGCAGAGTTTAAGATTGGGGAAATCTAAAACGACCGCGGATATGAAGACAAGGGGTTCTATTCGCTCTGTTGTGGAGAATATTCCTGGCATTTCCAAACTGAAAGCCGAACAAGAAGAGTGTTTGGTAAACATTTTGAATAGAGGTGATATCGTGGCCCTACTCCCGACAGGTTTTGGTAAAAGTTTAATTTATCAAATATTACCGATCGTCAGCGAGAAACTGGGGAGAACAAAGGCCGGCAAGACGATAGTTGTGATTGTGTTCCCCTTGGTTGCACTCATGGAGGATCAGGTTAAGGAGGCAGCAAAACTCGGTCAGCCATGTTTACTCCGGTATTTCGCTCGATGGTTTCGTTTTCGCATCATACATGTGTTTACAGTGGAAGTTCGATGCGGCTGAGCTGGCGAATAACACACGTCATAACCAAACGTTATGTGATTGGCTTACGGGTAACCAATGATTTTATACTTCAGACAAGCGCCCTTTTCAATTATTTTGATTTGATTTGATTTGATTTGATTGACTTTATTAATCCCACACTGGGGAAATTCCTGTATGCCATGCCAGACTCTGTCTACGAAGCAAAGCGAAGTAGCAGAGTTTGGTATTACCAGGCTACTTGTTTATGTGCATGTTATTAAATAATTGAAAAAAGAAACTCAACACTGACTATGAGAGCGGCCGTGCGCTAGCTGTGACATCATCACAGTGAGGCGAACACATACATTACCAAAAACGTGCCAGATATTGTTTAAAACTACAAACATATAAAAAAACTAATATGAAGTAAATGTTGCTGTCCACTCTGAACTGCTTGTCCTTATTCCAGCTTCTCTTACTGCTGGTTGTATAAAGCTGGTGGAGGGTGTGAGATGTTGTTTAAGTTTGTTATGTTTAGTACATGTGTTAAGTACACAACTTTTTTGTTTCCTGTTTTCTAAGTGCAGATGGCAACGTTGTCAAAAGGATCCCCATTCACACAGATCCACGAAAATGGCTAAAAACGCTGTATTCTGCAGCCAGGCCAGTAGCTGGCGACGTTACTCTGACATTTATAGGCTGAACACGTAATATGCATGCGCATAAAGTCGGCATTTTCACAATTTCGCGGTTTTGTAGTTTACACAGAGACAATATGTTATCGTTTCAAAAACTTGCACTTTTAAACCCGTTTTCAAAAGTTTGCGGTTTCAAGCCCCCAAACGCTGTCGTGTAAATGAACGTCCGAAAGCATGAAGAGTTTTCTGTTTTTAGCTGAATACAGTGTAGTGTAAATGCTCTCTCTTAGTGATTAATAAAGCTACATTAAGTGAAACAGATGAACATATGGAGCAAATCAACTGACCAGAACAAATTTGAAATGAACTTTGGATTGTTCTACAACACTGGATATCAAAAATAAAATGATGTAGACAGAGAGCCATAACAATCTCAACCGTGTGGGGTGAAATATATTTTATGAGAGCTTTTATTGCTCTTTATTGCATGTTATTGGGTCATGTTTGCTGAGGGATGAATATGAACATCAATTACTTACTGTGATTTCGGACATGCGCTTTTTGTATGGCCAAGCAGAGAACCCAAATAAGTGAAACTCTTTCCGCATGAATGACACTGATACGGCTTCACTCCAGTGTGGATCCTCTCGTGTATTTTCAGATACTCTGGCCGTTTGAATCTCTTGCCACACTGCGGACACTCATAAGGCTTTTCTACAGTGTGAACCGACTGGTGCAGTTTCAGTTCAGAATCTCTAATGAAGGACTTTCCACACTTGGAGCAAATGTGATCCCTCACGCCGCTGTGTCTTTTCAGATGTATTTTTAAATTACCCATCTGTCTAAAACCCTTTCCGTTTCACGTGGTCCTTCAGGGCATCTGCCCTAAAAAAACGTTTACCACAATGATCACAGTTATAAGGTCTTTCTCTAGTGTGCGTACGCAGATGTACTTTAAAAACACCAGCCTTTCGGAAACTCTTCCCGCACTGATAACACGTGTACAGATTCTCTCCGGTGTGGATTTTGATGTGATCCTGAAGGCTTGGTTTTCGTCTGAAACTCTTCCCGCACTCGTCACATTTGTGCGGCTTCTCTCCGGTGTGGATTTTCATGTGTTCATTAAGGGTTACTTTCAGTTTGAATTTCTTCCCGCACTGATCTGATCACTTGTGTGCGGCCTTTCCCCAGTGTGGACTTTCATGTGTTCGTTCAGGTTTCCCTTATGCGTGAAACTCTTCCCGCATCCATTACACGTGTACGGCCTCTCTCCAGTGTGGACTTTCATGTGTTCGTTCAGGTTTCCCTTATGCGTGAAACTCTTCCCGCATCCATTACACGTGTACGGCCTCTCTCCAGTGTGGACTTTCATGTGTTCGTTCAGGTTTCCCTTTTGAGAGAAAGTCTTCCCGCACTGATCACACGCGTGCGGCTTCTCTACAGTGTGGATTTTAATGTGTTCGGTTAGGCTTCCTTTATGTAGAAAACTCTTCCCGCACTGATCACATGTGTGCGGCTTCTCTACAGTGTGGATTTTCAGATGATCATTAAGGTTTCCTTTTTGAGGGAAACTCTTCCCGCACTGATCACACACGTGTGGCTTTTCTGCGGTGTGGATTTTCATGTGTTCGGTAAGGTTTCCTTTCATTGTGAAGCTCTTCCCGCACTGATCACATGTGTGCGGCAGTCTATGCAATCTTGCGTGAAAATGAAGATTTTGTTGGCATGAGAAACTCTTTCCACACTGAGGGCAGGTGAAACATTTTGGGGTTTTTCCTTCTAATGAGTCACTTAAAGACGTCTCTTCAGTTTTGACATGGTGATGTTTCTCCTTCGCTTCAGTCAGTTCTTCAATCTCCTTATTCGCTTCCATCAGGTCTAAAGTGAAAGTTAAAGTACAATAAGTTCCTACAGTTAGATTTTCAGTAAATCATAAAAAGAAGCAATTGTTTTCAATGAGTCTGTTCATATTAGCCTTTATTTTTGATCTTATGTCTTTTCTTTTTAGAGGTACAAGTTATGTCATTAGTGACATCTGCTCTGATAAAACGAATGCCTTTAACAGGTACCAATAAACCTCAAAGCATTGTATTGATTATTTCATAGCTTATGATTTTCTAACTGCAACCGCTACATCTGATAAACTGCTTGAAGTGTTATAACCTCACTGAAGAGTCAAGAATAAACACCAACCTATTTGTGCTTCAATATCTTCCTGCTTAATTCTGCAGGGTTCAGGATCATTTATGTTCTCCATGATCTTTCATAAACTCTTCTTCACTTGTAGGCTGACTGCAATATTCCAGCGCTTATTGGTGAATTTCTGTGGGAGGAGCAGATCTGCAAAAATAAATCTGTTATTAAATTGATGCTTCCACACTGTCACATTTTAAGCATGTTTTGTGTTCATCGATCCAACTATCGAAATGTAAATTTATTTGATTTGCTTTAAAACATATTCACATATTGTAATTGAGCTGAGTTTTTGTTAATTGTTTTTATTGTTTTATTGTTGAAAACATTAATCTGGTTTATCACAGACTTTATAGTTTGTCTCAATCTATGGACATCAATCAAATGAACTGTAAGTGTCAATTTACTTGTGATCTGTCGACATCAGCATGACAAATGAAGTAAAAATGGGGACTATTGACATGAAATAAATAGGTTTTTCAGCGGCTCTGTTAATAGATACTCCCGAAACAAGCCTTTAGTGAGATGAGAGACCGTTTCATTAACCTCGGTTAAATTAAATTATCGTATAGCAGTATAGCATTAACTTTAACAAACATTTGAACAATTATACACAAACAAACAACACTTTTTGTAGAAAAATTGTAGGGATGGACGATATATCTGCCACCATATTGGTATAGGCCAATATATGTTAATTTTTAATGTTATCGTTATTGGCCCGATAAGGAAATTTGACTGATATATTAAAGCCGATAAATAATGGATTTTTTTCTTTTAACTGAGACATTTACATTACATTTACATTTATTCATTTAGCAGACGCTTTTATCCAAAGCGACTTACAAATGAGAACAATAAAAGCAGTTAAACTAACAGTAGGACAACAATACGTAAGTGCTATAACCCCTCTCAGTTTAATTTTAGTGCAGTTTTTTTTTTTTTTTTAGAATAGAAGAGAAGAGAAAGTGTTAATTCTACTGAATCAAGTGCTGCCGAAAAAGATATGTCTTCAGCAGTTTCTTGAAAGTGGCTACTGACTCAGAAGCTCTGGTTGAGTTAGGCAGATCATTCCACCAACAGGGAACAGCCATGGTAAAGGTCCGAGAAAGAGATTTTGTGCCTCTTTGAGATGGTACCACAAGACGACATTCGCTAGCAGAGCGCAGGTTTCTGGATGGCACATAAGTCTGAAGTAATGAGTTTAGGTAAGAGGGAGCAGTGCCAGTGGTTGTTCTGTAGGCAAACGTCAGTGCCTTGAATTTAATGCGAGCGGCAACTGGCAACCAGTGCAATTGTGTGAGGAGAGGAGTGACGTGTGCTCTCTTCGGCTCATTGAAGACTACTCTGGCTGCAGCATTCTGGATCAATTGTAGAGGTTTGACAGAGCAAGCTGGAAGACCAGCCAGGAGAGCATTACAATAGTCCAGTCTGGATAAAACAAGTGCTTGGACAAGGAGTTGTGTGGCATGCTCTGTAAGGAAGGGCCTGATCCTCCTAATGTTGTGCAAAGCAAATCTGCAGGACCGGGCAGTTCTAGCAATGTGGTCTGTGAATTTCAACTGATCATCAATTACAACCCCAAGGTTCTTAGCTGACCTTGATGGAGTTATGGATGACGAGCCTAGCTGAATGGAGAAGTTGTGATGAAGTGTTGGGTTGGCCGGGACCACAAGTAGCTCTGTCTTCGCAAGGTTTAGTTGAAGGTGGTGGTCCTTCATCCAGCCAGAGATGTCTGTCAGGCAGGCTGAGATACGAGCAGCTACCGTCGGATCGTCAGGCTGGAATGAGAGGTAGAGTTGCGTGTCATCAGCGTAGCAATGATAGGAAAAGCCATGTTTCTGAATCACAGATCCTAGTGATGTCATGTAGATGGAGAAGAGGAGTGGTCCAAGCACTGAGCCCTGAGGCACCCCAGTAGCTAGATGTTGGGTCTTAGACGCCACACCTCTCCACGACACCCTAAAGGACCTACCTGAGAGGTAAGACTCGAACCATTGGAGTGCAGTTCCCGAGATGCCCTTCATCTTTAGGATTGACAGGAGGATCTGGTGGTTAACTGTGTCAAAAGCAGCAGACAGACCCAGCAGGATGAGAACTGAGGATTTGGAAGCTGCTCTTGCCAGTCTCAGAGCTTCAATTACTGAGAGCAGGGCAGTCTCAGTTGAGTGTCCGCTTTTGAAACCAGACTGATTGTCGTCCAAGAGGTTGTTCTGTGTAAGAAAGGAGGAGATCTGGTTGAAAACAACTCGTTCAAGTGTTTTCGCGACAAATGGAAGAAGAGATACCGGTCTGTAACTTGTTAGATGTGCTGGATTTAGATTGGGTTTCTTAAGCAGTGGGGTAACTCGAGCCTGCTTAAAAGCTGTGGGAGACACTTCAGATGCGCACTGTTCAGCGTGATGGTTTTGGTTTCATATAGGCCTACGGCTACATAAAATTGAAATAAGAAAACATCATTATAATTGTGTGCTTGGGAAATGGATTTTAATGGTAAGACTTTTGTTTTTGTAATCAGGCTCTCAAAAATTATAAAAAAATTTGGATTTAGATTTATCGGCCAATATATCGGTTATCGGATTTCAAATTTAAAGATTTATCGGTTATCGGCCTAAATTTTCATATCGGTGCATCCCTAAAAAATTGCTCTGAAGTTCATCATATCGTTGCCAGCTAAATTTTTATTTCAGCAAACAGATGCCAGAGGTCCATGTACGTTCACCCGTTTGAAAGCTTCTCTGAAAAGGAATACAGAGAAATGGAAAGATGGATTGTGTTTTTTCGTTTAGTTTAACAAACGGAAAATGAGATTTGGGCTCGATTTCTCATTTTTTTGTTGGTGGTTTTCAAATCGGTTTATAGCGTCGATATTTCATTCTTGCATGTGGTCGGCGCTGAAACGCACCTGATTGGTCAAACCGCTCCGTCTTCAGTCCAGTCTGTCAGGCAGAATAAGAGTCACACTGCCAAGTCCCAGTTTACGGGCCGTGACACACCAAGCTGATGGTCGGCCATCGGTGAGCGTCTGTCAGGCCAGATTCTGCGCTGTCTTCCACATGTCGGCTCTAGTCGGGCTCACGGCGACGGCAGTTCGCCCAATCCAGCATGTCGAATCTGCAGCGGAGCCGTCGATGAGAGAGATCACTCTGATTGGCTGTACAGTTTAGCAAACAGGTCAGATCACGAGAAGAATAGCAAAAGTGATAGTCTAGAAGCGAGCAAATAAGTCAAGACGACACAAATAAGTCAAGACAGAAAGATCTAATTGCACGTCATCTTACCTGAGCCTTCCAATACATGAATATTTTCATAACATGAGCCATCTGGAACGAAGAAAGTGATCAACATGATTGATATTCATAAGCAAGCGATGCTTTGTTTACGGTTTGTATGCAAGTCAAAATCTGCAACGGGGTAATATTATTTACCACAGGATCTGCATTTTTCCATTGGTTTAAATAAAAGTTATTTGGTTGTAAGTGACAATAAAAAACCCTACAACAAAACCACTACTTTCCTGGTAAAAAATTAACGTTATTTTTAAAAGTCAACGAATTTGTGACAGCTGAATGTAACATTTTTGACAAGCCAAACATGTTACTCTCTAAGTAATCTAATTTAAGCCACAAAATAAACGTATTTAGTAAGTTTGGGAGATAACAAACTACTCAAAAAGCATTTTGAATGTCTCCAGCACGTTTCATAATTACCCAAAAATCGAACATACACTCACCTAAAGGATTATTAGGAACACCTGTTCAATTTCTTATTAATGCAATTATCTAATCAACCAATCACATAGCAGTTGCTTCAATGCATTTAGGGGTGTGATCCTGGTCAAGACAATCTCCTGAACTCCAAACTGAATGTCAGAATGGGAAAGAAAGGTGATTTAAGCAATTTTGAGAGTGGCATGGTTGTTGGTGCCAGACGGGCCGGTCTGAGTATTTCACAATCTGCTCAGTTACTGGGATTTTCACGCACAACCATTTCTAGGGTTTACAAAGAACTGTGTGAAAAGGGAAAAACCAGTATGCGGTAGGGCTGTGAATCTTTGGGTAGGCAGCGAATCGATTCGATTCACGATTCATATTTTTTCGATTCAAGAACGATTTTTGCAAATGGGCTATATGCACGCATAACTTCCGCGTTTGATGCAAGGATGCTCTTGCGTTTCCGGTTGGGGAGATTTAAAGCGGAGGAAAACGGGATTATGGCAGAGTCTTCAAAATGTACTGTCCTCTCGTCTTTGAAACGAAACTTTAATATGTTTAGATGTAATTTTATATATAGTTATGTTTATTTAATACAATAAACAAAGAAGCATAAACAAAATGAGGGGTGTCTGTTTTGTCTGTTTTTGTGACTAACGTTTCTTTAGTATAGCAATAGAGTATAAAAACCTATATAAAGTCTCGGTATAGCATTGGACTCTACGATCGCCGGAAGTAATCCAGCATCCTTAGACCTTCACCGGAAATACCGCCATGCATAGAGCCCATTCAGAAAGATTCGATTCAATGCGATTCACATTAAAATTCGATGCGATTCGATTAATTCGATTTGATTCTTAATTTTTTATATGCAATCATAGGATTATTTAAATGCTTCCCCCAATGGGTCTTAGTCAGGGTGTGAATTATAGGCTACAGCTGCCTTCGGGGGTCAGAGAGTGAAAAAAATAAAAAAATAAAAAAATTTGTTTTGTCTATTGTTAACGTTAGTTCATGTTAGTTTTTAATGAATCTATTATTATAAAAAATATTTCCAAAGCCTATAAATTAGCATTTGTAAAAATGTAAACCAAGATTTAAAAAGGCTTTAAAAGTATAGTTAGTTCATCATGCTAACTATTTTGTAGGAATGGATACACAACCTTAAAGTGTTCCTGGTACATTAAACATCCTTCCATTGTGAGACTAAAAATACCATGAACTTTCCCAACTAAACCTTAACTAACGTTTCCTCATGGAATAGCTACTCTTTGTTTTCTCTTTCCATGTAATGAATGCGCACCCTTGAATAAGTGGGTTTTTACTTTAACTGCTCAGGACGGGTATGACCCATTTCCGTAAAACTTCAGTATCTTATCTTAAAGAAAATAACGGTGACGTTTCCACGCAACTAACGCGTTGTTTCATAGCAGTGCCCGCGCAATGATATGGCAGCTTTATCAATGGCTTGCTTTCTCGATAGAGAGCTGTCATCTGCTCATGTGAACTCCAATGGCTGTCCTGAGGAGAGCTCAAACATGGACTGCTCAAAAATCTGCAGATGAGAGCTATATGGGACCGAGCGCGAGCGAAATCCAGTGAAAGATGGTAAGAGTGCAGCGAGTATGTGAGAGCTGTGAGGACGCGAAATGACGCCGCACAACGCCTCATTAATTCGCGCATGTAGTCATTTAATGTTTAATGTTTTAAAGCACTGAATCGATATAGAATCGCAAATTATTCGATTCTTAGCATTTTAAATCGAATATTGACCGAAATAAACGATTCACGATTCGAAATACATGATTCAAGATCGATGCATATTCATCGTCAGGATTTGTAATCGATGCATCGAGAAAACGAATGAATCGTTACACCCCTAGTATGGGGCAGTCCTGTGAATGGGCAGACTGATTCAAGCTGATAGAAGAGCAACTTTGACTGAAAAAAACACTCGTTACAACCGAGGTATGCAGCAAAGCATTTGTGAAGCCACAACACGCACAACCTTGAGGCGGATGGGCTACAACAGCAGAAGACCCCACCAGGTACCACTCATCTCCACTACAAATAGGGAAAATAGGCTACAATTTGCAAGAGCTCACCAAAATTGGACAGTTGAAGACTGGAAAAATGTTGCCTGGTCTGATGAGTCTCGATTTCTGTTGAGACATTCAGATGGTAGAGTCAGAATTTGGTGTAAACAGAATGAGAACAGGGATCCATCATGCCTTGTTACCACTGTGCAGGCTGGTGGTGGTGGTGTAATGGTGTGGGGGATGTTTTCTTGGCACACTTTAGGCCCCTTAGTGCCAATTGGGCATCGTTTAAATGCCACGGCCTACCTGAGCATTGTTTCTGACCATGTCCATCCCTTTATGGCCACCATGTACCCATCCTCTGATGGCTACTTCCAGCAGGATAATGCACCATGTCACAAAGCTCGAATCATTTCAAATTGGTTTCTTGAACATGACAATGAGTTCACTGTACTAAAATGGCCCCCACAGTCACCAGATCTCAACCCAATAGAGCATCTTTGGGATGTGGTGGAATGGGAGCTTCGTGCCCTGGATGTGCATCCCACAAATCTCCATCAACTGCAAGATGCTATCCTATCAATATGGGCCAACATTTCTAAAGAATGCTTTCAGCACCTTGTTGAATCAATGCCACGTAGAATTAGGGAAGTTCTGAAGGCGAAAGGGGGTCAAACACAGTATTAGTATGATGTTCCTAATAATCCTTTAGGTGAGTATTTCACCCCTCACGCATGTTATCACGTCCTTCAAGACTGGCTGTTGGTTGCAATATTAGAACTAAAAACAAGGACACACTCATGGGTATCAATCACGTCACTGCATACTTAATTATTTCCTTACAATTCCTCTGTTTTCAAATCCACATCGCTGTTTAGTGGTCGCGTGATCAAGACCGACCAGCGAGTAAACGCATCTGCTCTAGACTGCGTCCGAAAACTCAGGCAGTGACTTGTTTCCTCGCTGCCCTATCAGGCCAATGACTGGGCACGAAGGTTCCTCACAAAACAGTAAACCGTAAAATAGAGCGAGCTTTAGTAAAAACTAAGCGAATATTTAACTACCGCAATAGTCATTTCTCGCCAGAAATGACATCATAAGTGGAAAACGTTAATCAAAAATGTACATTTACACACAAACTGACGACCAGCCGCAACTTTTAGACGCCATCTTTATTTTCTAGCTCAACTGCCACCGAATGTAAAGCACAGGATTGTGGGATATCAAAGGCAGGGAAGGATCCGATACATCTATGCTGCCTTCAAAAATCGATCAGATGAAGGAATCTCAGGAGACCGGAAGTGAAGCTAACGCTGCATTCGGACGTGCCTTGATGCCTAAATGCTTTTGTTCTTTATATCACATTTAATGTATAACGTAAGCTTGTTCTGTATATTGCCTAATTGTAAGCTTGTTCAGAAATTGTGACAAAAAATGCAATGGATAAAAAAAACGTCTTTCTTGTTAAAGGTCATTTAAATAAACAAATATTCGTTTATGAGCCCAAATATTTGAATACAATATTTTTGAAAAATGCCCATCCCTAATTCAAATAATGTAAACGATAATGTTCAATGAATGGTAAAAAGCCTATTTTCAGACGCATCTACTGTAATCTACCTCATCAGAGAATTATTAATCAGGAATTTTACTAAGGCACAGCATTATTTGACTGTAAAAAGGGTCTAGCGACACCTCTGCTAACAAGTAAAATCTTCTCCTCACTATAGTCTGCTTTCACAGCCTCTGGTGTGTATAACTGTGCTCTTGCAAACTATTTTTTTTAAAAGACTGAAAAGTGAAAAGCCTTTAGGTTTTGACTTCTGCCTATTGTATTTACGCTTCAAACTTCATAAAAGTTGTTCATTTGTGAAGATTATCACAATGAACAAAACATGTAAGAATTATAAGGCTTTTGTTAAGTCATCTATACCTTAATTATATATACCTAAAATTAATGAAAGTAACTAACTTCCAATAAACTGTAAACAATCAGCGAAACATTCACTCTATGAACAGAATATGAATAATGATTTACAAAAACTGGGTACAACGAGGTTTACATTACATTTGTTACATTATTTATTAATCTTTGTTAATGTTAGTTAATAAAAATACAGTTGTTTGTTAGGCTAATAGTTTACAGTACATAAACTAATGTTACAACTTTTGATTTTAATGCATTAAATGTTGAAATTAACATTAACTAAGAATAATAAAAGCTGCACAAGTTTAGTCAATTCTTTATTCATGTTAACTCAATTTGTTAACTAATAAAACCTCATTGTAAAGTGTTACCGAAAAAA